ATTCTCTTTAATTGTTACTGTTCCACACTGGAGTGATAAAAGGTTGAGTATTTTCCATTTTTTCCCTTCTAACTGAGCACATTCCATTCTGGGCGTTTAGGCCCTTGAAAATCAATTCATTGCATAAAATCATTGTCTGAGCTTTAATGCAATTTCACAGGTACTTGGAATAGAATAAGTAATGGGATTCAGTGTTGCATAAGGAAGTTTCAAGTGTGCAGGCAGCCTGGGCGCCTTCTCATTGATGAGAAGGCCGGAAAGCCACAGGAAGGCGGGACTGGGGCTCACTTCCAACAGCCCCTCCCTCAGAGCCCCCCCCACCCCCAGCTCCCAGGCTCATCATCCAAGACTGGCTCGCCTTAGTATCCTACTGCCCTGCTGTCCTCTTTAGGGCCCCAGTTCTGTTGAGCGAACATTTTCAAACAAAAGGACCTGCGCCCTTGATGTGAGTCCCTTCTGTTGCTGCAATATTAAGCAAAAATGATTTTTGTTATGTAATAAATCTAACTTTCTTTGACAGCTGGATCACAGAAATGTCGAGTCATTGTGATGGCCCGCTTGTTGTCACAAATACATTTTTAGTGCAGATTCCAAAGACTCCAGGGAAGCATAATTACTTAAACGAAGAAAATGGAGCGCTCTCTCCAGAGCCAGCACTCTGTCGGGGCGAGAGTAATAAGTCTCTTCAACATAATGTCCCCTTCTAGAAGCTACGTGCCCATTGCCACCACCCTCTAATTGCAGCTGCATTTGCTGTGACTTAAGAGTGCAGCTTCCGTTGCTTAAATGGTCCAGAAGACTGAGCAGCTTTCACTTGTTTTATTCCCAACAGAAATTTCTCTCATTAAAAAGAATTATACACACTTGATAGAATATTTAAAAAAAATTTTTTAAAAAACTATATACAGAGAACACACACACAAGTGCATGTACAGCTGTAAAGCTGGGGAAATCGGAACGAAGTCAGTGAATGGTCCCCGTGTCAATATTCTGGTTGTGATATTGACTAGAGTTATGCAAGATGGTCCGGCTGAGGGAGACGGGGTGACGTGAAGGCGGGGAACCTTCTGTATTATTCTCTGCAACTGCATATGGTGACAACATCACCTCCAAACCAAAAGTTTAAAAAGGCTGACTTTAAAGTGAAGCTCCATGAACTTTCCTTTGACTACTAACCAAATTCCATTTTCTTCTTAATTTAAAAAAGCACCTTCTTTTAATTTGCACCTTTGGATGATGAGACAGGATGCATTTTCTCCATACTTGTTCACTAATGCCTCCCCTCAATTTTGAATCCTTACCAAATTTTGCCAGAATTTTTATCTTTGAAAATGGCAGGTCAGCTTGAATGAAAAAGAAAAACGAAATTCACTGCCATTGAGTCAGTTCCAACTCATAGTGACTCCCATTGGGTTTCCGAGGTTGGAAATCTTTATGGAAGTGGATCGCCCCATCTTCCTTCTGTGGAGAAGCTGGTGGATTTGAAACACTGACCTTCTGTTTAGCAGCCAAATGACTTTTATCAGCTTGAATAGACACTGAGAAATCAATCTTGCCTGTTGTTGTTGTTGTTAGGTGCTGTCGAGTCATTTTCGACTTACAGTGACCCTATGCACAGCAGAACAAAACACCACCCAGTCCTGAGCCAGCTCCATGATTCTTGGCTATACTTGAGCCCATCACTGCTGCCACCATGTCAATCCATCTCGTTGAGAGCCTTTCCCTCTTTCGTCGACCCTCCACCTTACCAAGCATGACATCCTTCTCCAGGGAATGGTCCCTTCTGACAACATGACCAAAGTAGATGAGACCAAGTCTGGCCATTCTTGCCTCCAAGGAGCATTCTGGCTGCACTTCCTTCAGGACAGCTCTGTTACATCTTTTAGCAGTCCATGGGATTTCAGCATTCTTTGCCAACACCACAGCTCAAAAGCATCAATTCTTCTTCAGTCTTCCTTATTCATTGTCCAGCTCTCACATGCATATGAGGCGATTGAAAATTCCATGGCTTGTGTCAGGCACACCTTAGTCCTCAAGGAGACATCTATGCTCTTCAGCACTTGAAAGAGGTCCTTTGCAGCCAATTTGCCCAGTGCTATACGTTGTCTCATGTCCAGACTGCTGCTTCCATTGGTGTCGACTATAGAACCAAGTAACGTGAAGTCTTTGACAATTTCAAATTTTCTCCATTTATTGTAATGTTGCTTACAGGACCAGTTGTGAGGAATTTTGTTTTCTTTATATTGAGATGTAATCCACACTTCAGATTGTGTTCTTTAATCTTCATCAGTAAGTACTTCAAGTCATCCTCACTTTCAGCAAGCAAAGTTATGTCGTCAGCATATCACAGGTGGTTAATGATTTCTTCCTCCAGTCCTAATGCCACATTCTTCTTCATATAGTCCAGCTTCTCAGATTATTTGCTCAGCACACAGATTGAATAAGTATGTTGAAAGGATACAACCCTGACGTACTCCCTTCCTGATTTTAAACCATGTTTTGTTGTTGTTGTTATGCGCCCTCGAGTCAAACCCGACTCATAGCGACCCCTCCTTGGGTTTCCGAGGCAGTATCACTACGGAAGTAGGATTGCCCAACCTTCCTTCCGAGGAGTGGCTGGTGGGTTTGAACCGCCAGCCATTTGGTTAGCAGGCAAGTGTCTTAGCCACTATGCTACCAGAGCTCCCATTTAAACCATGTAGTGTTCCCTTTTTCTGTTCGAACGACAGCCTCCTGGTCTATGTACAGGTTCCTCATGAGGACAATTAAGTGTTCTGGAATTCTCATTCTTCTTGATGTTATCCATAATTTGTTATGATCCACACAATCAAATGTTTTTGCATAGTCAATAAGACACAAGTAACCATCTTTCTGGTATTCTTTGCTTTCAGCCAAGATCCATCTGACATCAGCAATGATATCCCTCATTCTACGTCCTCGTCTGAATCCAGCTTGCATCTCTGGAAATTCTCTGTCAATATGCTGCTGCAACCGTTTTTGAATTATATTCAGTAAGATTTTACTTGCATGTGATACTAATGATATTGTTCAATAATTTCCACATTCTGTGGGATCACCTTTCTTTGGAATCCATCTCTTCCAGTCAGTTGGCTGAGTAGCTGTCTTCCAAATCTCTTGGCATAACTGAGTGAGTGCCTCCAGTAGAGCATTCATTTGTTGAAACATCTCAATGAGTATTCTGTCAATTCCTGGAGCCTTGTTTTTCTCCACTTCCCTCAGTGTAGTTTTGACTTCTTCTTTCAATACCATTGGTTCTTGAACACGTGCCACTTCCTGAAATGGATGAAGATTGACCAGCTCTTTTTGGTGCAGTGACTCTGTGTATTCCTCCCATCTTCTTTTGATGCTTCCTGCATCATTCAGTATTTTGCCCACAGGATCTTTCAATACTACAACTCAAGGGTTAAATTTTTCCTCAGTTCTTTCAGCTTGAGAAATGCTGAGCCTGTTTTTCCCTTTTGGTTTTCTAACTCCAGGTCTTTGCATATTTCATTCTAGTGATTGGCTTTGTTTTCTTGAGCTGCTCTTTGAAATCTTCGTTTCAGCTCCTTTATCTTGTCATTTCTTCCATTTGCTCTAGCTACTCTTCACTCAAAGGCAAGTTTCAGAGTCTCTTCTGACATCCATTTTGGTCTTTTCTTTCTTTGTCACATTTTTAATGACCTCTTGCTTTCTTCATGGATGATGCTCTTGAAGTCATCCCACAATTCTTCTGGCTCTCTGTCTTCAGTGTTCAATGCATCAAATCTATTCTTTAGATGGTCTCTAAATTCAGGAGGCATATATTCATGGTCATATTTTGGCTCTTGTGGACTTGTTTTAATTGTCTTCAACTTCCAGTTGAACTTGCATATGAGCTGTTGATGGTCTGTTCCACAATCTTGCCTAAGAGATGCAACACGGTGGTGGTAGCTTCCACAGTGATGGAAGGAAGTCAAGGTGAAAGGCTTTGCCCTCTTCTCTGGGGCCCACTTCTTAGAACACTGTTAAATGAAAGATGGGCGACTGGCCTGGAAGCCAAGACTGGGGTTTCCTTTGGCACTTCTCCTTTTGTGAATTTAACTGAGTATTCTGATGCTCTTTGAACATAGTTTATTTTGTTTATGTTTTAATAATTCCTGTTCTTTTGCTTTTAAAAAAAAAAAAAATGCTACATTTGCCCAATGTCTGTCTGAAGCCTTCAGTATTAGCAGCTCTAAATTCCCAACAGTTTATGCAGGAATAAGCAATCAAAAGTAGACCTGGCATTATTGATTAATAGACCCAGAGGGTAATGAGGACATAAGGGGCTTTCAGGTAAAGAACTGCTCCCTCAATTACAAACAGTGATTCTGTCCATGTGGGGAAAGGTGACATCCACCATTTAGAGGTGGATTAAATGATTTTACAAATCTCTGGAGATTACTGGGTAGCACCAGAATGGATGTTATTTCTTTTTATCCTTCCCCTTCTTTCTCTTCTTCTAGAAATTTCTGATTATCCACAAATTCTCCACCAAGACCAACAGGCCAGAAAATTCCATTTAAAATGTAAATGAAGCCAATAAACTGTGAAGCTAATATACCCTCTCCTGATCTCATCCTCTCCTCAATATCCTCCCACCGTCCACCTCTCCCTGTTGCCCTCAGATTCTATGTATGTGGAAAGTCAACTCCACACCTGTGGCCTTAAATGCTGACTTTTGTGTTGGAACAGTGTCCCTTCCTTTTGGAATAACCGAAAGACATTCTCAGAAAGCATGGCTTATAATAGAAATCTCTATAAAAATCTCTTTTAATTTTTTTTTAAAATTATAATACTGCACCTTTAAAAAGACAAGTGTCAATGTCAAACAGTGAAATTACTATACTTCCCTTCCACCCACTCTGTTTTCAATTTTAATTTTATGAATATTGCAAATTCTCACACTCACATAATAACCTCTGAAGGGGATAATTTATAAAAGCAGTGTCCATCAATTATAAATTTTCCATGACATTAATAAAATGGCAAAAACTAATTATGATGACTCCTAAGAAGAAGATGCCTTGGACAAATCATTAATACGTTGAAACGATGTTTTTTTTAAAAAACATAGCAATTTCTAATTATGACTGAGGTGAGCTTAGGAAGATGACTACGGAAAGGCCAGGAACCTGAGCAGCTCCACCGTCTCGGAGTACATGGTGTATGGAGACTTCGCTTCCAGGGGGTCGCGCTCCATCGCATTGCCACATTCAGTGAAGGAGAGGGCTGCGTCGGCGTAGTTGACGGCTTTGCCAAATTTCTCAAACTGAAAGGGGAAGATGAGTTGTCAGCATGGTCCTCCCTCTGCTCCTCCTTCTAGAGGAGCAAGCATCTCTCAACAGGGAGACAGTCGGCTGCCCGAGAAACATGTGGCAGTGTCTGGAGATATTTTTGCTTGCCCACACATAGGGTAGGGGGAGCTACTGGCATCTAGTACATGGAGGCCACTACTACACACATCATACAGGACATAGGAAAACCCCCCCCCCCCAAAGCAAGAATGATCCGGCTCAAATGTCAATAATGCCAAAGGTGAGAAACCCTGACCCAGAGAGATGGCAGTGTACGAATTTTCAGTAATCATGAAGTAAGTGACTTGAGGTTCTTTTGTAATGGCAAGAAGGCTAAGGGCAAAAAGAAAAATGCAGCCAAGGTATCAGGGGTGGTCTGTGTGCTATTACTGTGGTTGCTGTTATCAGTACCACTTTGGTGGACTAGCATCTGAATCACTGTCTTGACAAGTTTCCATTCACCAAGGTTACCAACCTGGTTAGGCACTCTGGTTTCCTATAGACAGAGCTTGCAACTAAGCTCTGCTTTTCACAAGCCTCACTGACAAGGAACACAGACAGTCTTGGCTTTGCGACTCTTTGTGAGCACATCAACCCCGCCTCCAGGAGAAGAGTAACAAATTGATGCTATTGTCATGAAAAATGTGAAGCTGTCCTGTGACTGTTGACAATAATCACATCACTTTCATTGTAAATGATGGTCTGAAATAGTGTGTCAAAAAGCCAAGAAATATAGCACCCCTAAATATTTTAGTTTAGTAAAATTTTATTGCAGAGGGTTTTAGCCCTGGTAATGGTCATGATTGAACTGACTTAGACACACTGATTTCTTTTTATGTGTAATGAATATTATAGATGACACTTTTATAGTGAGTATTTTATAACAGTATTTAGCATTTTCAATTTTTGATAGCTGGATGTAAGAATTTCACTAATACAGTATTTTATGCAAAAGAACCAATATAATGCAGATTTTGCTATTTTAATTTTCTTGTCTACCTTTTATCAAAATATTTTCTATGCAACTGTGAAAGCTTCAATTCTCAAAATGGCAGAGTAGCTGTCTCTAGCAAAGGATTAAGTGCAACTATAAAATGATGAGTTACGGGTCCTGCACAATCTCTTGTTGTAATGACTCTCTTTACAATAAATGTTCTGCAGCTTTTATGTACCACTGGCAATCTGTGGTTTCCTTTTCTGCAAGCTGCTATGGGAAAATATTCGTATCTGTCCAGTTCAAAGTGATTTCACGAAAACCTGTGTGTGTGTATATATGCAAATGATCCCCTTTTCCTCTTGCCTCCCAACATCATTTTCCAAGGGCCACCAGGCTTTGATGGCCTTTCCCATTTGGAAAGGAATCTTTGCATCCTGACTTGAGAAAGAGATTTTTCATTCATTAACCCATATCTGGAAGGATCCTTAAAGATCTCTAACCCAGATACCTCCTTTTCCAAAAAGGGAAACTGAAGTCACTCCTCTTCTCTGAGCCTCAGTTTCTACGATGTTAAAAGAGAGAACCTGAGGAACAGGAATTGACAGATTCCTCTGGTCCTGTACCAATGTAAAATGTACCCAAGAATGGATACAAAGAAAGAATGTGGAGACAAGGCAATCACAAAATCTGCAGACCTCCTCTGGGATAACCATGAATCCATTTAAAGTTTATCTTGTGCAGAGAATTCAGCTTTAGGCAATTTCCCTTGAGTCCTGGGAGATAACCCAAGGACTTCCCTACCTTTATTATTTTAAAGCCTCTGGATTCTACCTGAGGCTTTGTGCAAGGAATGGCACCACAGAAACCACCTAGTAACCTGATGTCAGCTGATCTCAGAAAGGGGGACATGACTCAGTCAATCCTACTGAGACTAGCCAATGGTAAGTTTTGCTGTTTCCTCAGCCTCATTGTAACTTGCCTACACTGAGCCATTTTTTTAAAAACAGAATGGTCTACCTGTATGCATACAGAATAATTGCCCAAGTGAACCCTTTACACTTTAATTTCTTAATATTTTGATTACTTTTTAACAATAGCCATAAAAAGTGGTGGTGGACCTACAGTCCAAGGATGCTTTCCAGCTCTGGTGTAGCATAGGCCAAACAAAAATGCCACTGCTCTAAATGAGTGCTTCTCAACTTTTCATTCATTATTAACCCCCTATGCCGAACCTTTTTAAAATTTTTCCCCCGAACCTTTTTAGACAATTCTTTCCACCCAAACCCATGGAATTTTAATACCAAACACATATTAAATATCTCTTTATGCACTGTGGCCCTTTGGAGAGTCATAAACCACTTTAGTATCTAAAATTTTGTACAGCTTTCTCCCAAGAACTGATTTTTGCCCGCCCCCCATGAGGGGAGAGGGGAGTATCTCCCCGCCTTGAGGATGCATGTTCTAACTGGATATAGTAAGAGTGACTTCGGGAGACACATGAACACAACTCCGGAAGGGGGAGGGAGCGCTGCTGGGTCTCGATCCCATGTATGGATCTCTGTGGCTCTTGTTTTCTCGGATGAGCAGCCCCGTCTCCGTGAGCTCGCGGAATAGCTGGTCGGAGGAACATGGACGTGCCCCCTTGCTCCGATTTTGACACAGGGCAAACTCCAGAGCACTCTGCGGTGCTGCCAAGTGGAGGAGGTTAGCGCAAACCTTCGGTCTGTGTCAGCAATACCGCCACCCAATGCTTTTCAGGTCCCTTGTCACCCATCCAGTGGCCACAGGCACAGTCATCCCAGTCCCTCTGTGTGGGGACGGAGCAGGAGATGATTGTTCCCAAGGGACAATTCCCACCATGGAAGGGTCAGCTGTTGCCAATAGCTGGGTAGTCGGGATCACAGGGGCAACGACAGGCAGTAGGGAAGCAGCAGAGGCAAGGGCCACGGGAGTTGCTGTTGGTCTCACACTAGTCCAAATGCAAAGACTGTTGTGCCATTCCAGTAGGGCCCTCCCGGAGTCAAACACCCTGTGACAGCTATGTCCTGAAGGCAATGCCTGATGGAGGATGGTTT